TAACGATATACTTGACTATAGGGATAAACTTGATCGAATTCAGCAGCCAGAGTGGAGAATAAATGGTTTCAGGGAGGTGGTACACTTTTGTAACCTTTTTTGATCAAGGTTACTATGGAAACTGCTTTACTTAGGAACAATGTAGAAATACCTAAAACTAAGTTAGAGAGAGACTTGATCGTGCTATGGTGACAAGAGCTTCGAAAATTCTTTTCCAGAAGCCACAATGTTTCACATTGAATCAACTTCTTCAGATCATGCAGCCATTTTTTTTGAACTTAGGTGTGAAAATTATTTGCTATGCCATAAGATGTTTTCGCTTAGAAAACTCTTGGATGAAAGACATAGATATTAAGCAAGCAGCCAAACCGCGTGGGAACAAGGAAAAGGCCTGCCTATGGACGAGATGATATAGAGTTGTGGTGCCTATTTCCTGGAATGGGAAAGAACACAAGATAATAATTTAATGTCAAGTTTAAACAATCCAAGGCTCAGATGACAAAATATAGAAACAGTGCACACCTGTATCATATGCAACTGTTTCATGCAGCTAAAGCGACGTATTTGTAGGCCCTTGAACAAAAAAATATGTACTGGAAACAGAGAGCTAAACAACACTGGTTGAGAGAGGGTGACAACAACACAAAATTCTTTCATATTATGGCCCCAAATCGATGAGAGAAAAATACTTTCACACAACTAAAAGATAATATGGGACAATGGCGTGGATGGGATAATCGTCTACAAGATGTGATCACCAATTTGTTTATGCTTTATTCACCTCTAAACAAGGAGGTGTGCATACAATTCTTGATTTGGTCGAGAGTAAGATTATGACATCCTATAATTTGTCCTTAAATAAGTTTTTCTATTGTTGATAAGGTAAAAATGCGGTTTCTCTATGCACCCAGATAAAGCTCTAGGACCCGATGGACTTAATCCGGGTTTCTATTGTAGTATTTGGTCGATGGTGGATAAGGATGTCTCCAATGCTATTTTAAGGTGTGTTAATGAAAATAGTAACATACTAGGCCATAATAACACAAAGATAGTCTTAATTCTAAAGAAGAAACAATTTGAAGCAATTTCTGATCTGTGACTTATATCTTTATGTAATGTCATTGATCGCATTACTTGTAAAATAATGGCAAATCGAATAAAGCACTGTTTAAATGATATTATCTCTAAGGCTCAAAGCGTTTCCTGGTCAGTTTATTCTTAATACTGCCATGATTTCTTTTGAGATAAATCACTACTTGAAACGAAAAACACAAGGAAAGACAAGTTTTGTTGCCATGCGCAAAGCCTATGATAGAGTGGAATGGGACAATTTGAAAAACATTATTCTCAAGCTTTGTGGACTGGGTTTGAAGGTTATGAGGATTGTTATTACCGTGTCCTATGATAAGTAGGGATTTTGACTACTTATTTGCGCTCTTTTAATTTCGTTTTAGACCAAAATTTCTTAAAGGTATTCCCAAAAACTAATGAAATGTGCTTACTTTCAGGAGTGTTAGAACATGAGATAAAGAGATGAAAATCAACTCAAGAAGGAGTAATTTTGGATAAGAACAAAAACAGGGGTAAAAGAGCACTGTGCGGGCTGCACAATATTGAGTGCGTCCGCAGGTCATGAAGAAAACCACTAACAAGAAGTGCTTTGCAAAGTGCGGACCACACAATTTTGGTACGGCCACAGAACATAAAGTTCAGAGAGATGAAATTCTAAGGTCAAGACGAAATGCGGACTGCACCAGTTTTGTGTGGCTGAATAATCAAGAGCGCGGCCGCACTAAAAAATGTGCGGTCCACAAAAGTCCTACAATGCCAAAGCCCAAGTTCAAGGAGTGTGGACCGCACTATAATTGTGCGACCGCAGAAGCAAGTGTGCGGCCGCACTCATAAATGTGCGGTCCGTAGAAGTTGAGGGAGTGCGACGGCAACCCAGAATTGTGCAGATGCATAACTGAAACCTGTCAACCCAAGTCTCATTGTGTGAACCGCACACATAATTGTGCGGCCGTACAACCTCCATAGGGGCAGTTTTTTCAGATATTTTCAGCTTAATATAAATAGAACTTTTTGTCATTTTTAGGTTAAGTTTTGTTTTGGGAGAGAACCTGAGCTGTTTTTATTGTATTGGGTAACATTGTACTGGATTAGCATTTTAACATTACATTTTCTTTTCTTAATCTTCTATGATGGATTTTATCTTAATTTCTTCTTTAATGTCTGCATTTTCCATGAGTAGCTAAATTTCTAGATAGGTTGTGACCCAACCCTAGTGTGAGTACTTAATGGATGTTTGATTTATGGCTTGTTTGTGATTGTGTTAGTGATATTTAGCCTAGTTCTTGCTTGAAATTAAGAATTAATTGTTGCAAACATTGATTCATACCTAATTGACTTAGTCTCTACTTGAGAAAGAGAGGCTAAGTCTAGGAAAACTTGGGTACCAAGGAATTGGGGTGAACTCAAGAAATTGATAGTCCTAATTAAAGGGTTGAATCTAGAGATAATAAGACTCGACTTGAGCATTTATCACTTGTTTTGTGCAATACCCATTTGGACTTGAGAAAGCCATATTGGGCAAAATCACTCTAACTACCGAGAGGTATTGAGTGGGTAATTGCGTGTGATTACTATATTACAATCCCGACCAATCCAACTTTCCCTAGAGTTTACAACCCGTTAGTTACCCACCTAGGTGGAAGTCATGACCCTAGACCTTTTATCAACTTGAAAAACAACACCACCAAAAATATTGTCTCTTACTTTTTCATTTGCAAATATTAGCATAATCAATAGAAGTAGAAAGAAACAACCAAATATATAGAAGTGCAATCTCGGGCACATCATACACCTAGTCTAGACATATACCTAATCCATATGGAAGTGCGTTGGGTGTTTATTATTGCTTCGACCACCTCACAACCTATATTTGTGTTGTGAGTTTGGGCGGCATCAATTTTTGGCACTGTTACTGGAGAGTTAAACGGATTTAGCAATATATCTAGGTTCTTGTGTGATTTGTCTTTTTTCCTTCCAAGTCACTAACTTTGTTTTTGAATTGATTTTAGGCATGAGAATGGCTCTCAACAATGAGCCCATTGGGAATTTGTCAATGGGGGAGGACTTGGATGATGACCAAAGTGATGAGGTTCCTCTTGAACCTCAAGCAAATAGGCGAGGCCGACCGCCTCATGATAATGTCCCCGTCCCTCCCCCACCTCCACCTAGAACGGCAGGTCACCTGGAGTTGCCGAAGGTTATGAAAGTGCTATAGTCCCGCCCCGCATTAGGGCGAGAAACTTCCAAATCGCCAATGTGATGCTTGTGCTATTTGAGCAACGGGGATTCTTCATCGGGACTCCAACTCAAAATGCTTACAAGCATCTCAAAGGGTTCGTCGATACTTGTAGGGGAGCAAACAAACTAATGTCTCCGAGGATGCGCTGCGGTTGAGGCTATTTCCCTTTTCTTTACGGGGAAAGGCATTGGACTGGTTAGAGAAATTGCCCAATCATTCTATCCATACATGGGATGAGTTGTCGAAAAAATTCAATGCCAAATTCTTCTCTCCGGGGCATATGGCGACACTTCGTGATGAGATTCTTGCGTTCAAGCAAGAACCCAATGAGCCATTGCACGAGATTTGGGAAAGATATAGTACCATGGTTAAAGAGTACCTGAATAATGATATGACCGAGGCTACGATCCAATAAACCTTCTACAGAGGGATCAACACATCAAATCAATGTGTGGTAAATCAAGTCACCCATGGGAACTTCATGAACACGCCTAATGCCGAAGCTTGTGAAATTTTGGATGAGATGGCAAATACCTCATCGGCGTGGCAAGGTAGAGCAAATGTTCCTCAAGGTGACCCAAATGTCATTCACCTACACAAGGAACTATATGATCATGGGCAAGCTATCGCCAAGTTGACAACCACAATGAATCAATTAGCCAAAGCTCAGCTTCAACAAGTTCAAGGGTCGAAACAAGTGAATGCAATGGAAGGTGTGAATATGATGGTAAACAAGAGACGACAAGAAGCTCAACAAATGCAAAGCCGTTCGAAAAAATTCATGCAAGATGATAGTGGGTATGACCAAGGTGATTCCTTCAATGAGAAAGAAGAAGAAATGTAATATGTCAGCAATTATCAAGGCCAAAGAAACAATACTCAAGGAAAAAACCAACAACAATGGCGGTCATAAGGAAATCAAGGAAATTGGAGTGGTGGTAACAATAATCATGGCAATTGCAATAATCAAGGTAACCAAGGAAATTGGGGAGGCAATAGTCAAGGCAATTGAGGTTGCAACAATCAAAGCAATTGAGGAGGTAACGTCCAAGGAGGGTGGAACAACAACAATCGGGAGTCGGGTTTTCAAAGGCCTCCGATGTTACAACAACCGAGCAATCCACCTCACTATCCTTCTCAAGGTCTGAGCTCTTCTAACAATGAGATGGGTAGAATTGAGAACATGTTTAAATAGATGATGGAGAAGACTGCCGACTCTGATGCTCGACTAGCCTCTTACATCACTTCTATTCGTAATTTGGAAGTTTAGTTAGGCCAAATCTCACAAGCTTTGAACACTCATACTAAGGGGGCACTACCTAGTGATACGGTGGTGAACCCAAATGGTGAGAATAATATAGGGCATGCTATGGCCGTGACTACAAGAAGTAGAAAAGGTGGAGATGCAACCACCTCAACTCAAAGAAGAATTGTGGATGATGTTGTTGTGGTTCAAGAAGATAAAATTCCAAGAAATGTGGTTCAAGCTAATGAAGAAGTGAGAATTGAAATTGATGAAAATGTGGAGGAGATGCAAGAAGAAGTGAACCCGTCTAGGGAACACGTGATTGACATGCCAAAACCGGTATTGCCAAAGGCTAATGAACCAATTCCAAGGCCTCCTTCTCCATACCCTTAAAGGCTTTCAAAGCAAAATAATGAGAACCAATTCAAAAAGTTTATTGATATGATGAAGAGTTTGTCTATTAATGTGCCGTTGGTTGAGTCATTGGAACAAATGCTAGCATATGCAAAGTTCATGAAGGATTTGGTGACAAAGAAAAGATCAATAAATTCTAAGACTATCAAGATGACACATCAAGTGAGGGCCATTGTGCAGTCAATGGCTCCGAAATTGGAAGATCGAGGCGCTTTCACAATCCCATGTACAATTAGAAGTGCCGACTTTGCCAAAGCATTATGTGTTCTTTGGGAGAGTATCAACTTTATGCCCTATTTGGTTTTCAAAACTTTGGGAATTGGGAAATCAAGACCCACATCCATGAGGTTGAAAATGGCGGATCGTACAATGAAGAGGCCATTGGGTATTATTGATGATGAGCTAGTTCGTGTTGACAAGTTCCTCCCAGCGAACTTTGTGATTCTTGATTGTGAAGTGGACTATGAGGTGCCTATCATTTTGGATAAACCTTTCCTCACTATGGGGAAGGCTCTTGTTGATGTGGAAGCAGGTGAGATCACTTTTCGGGTGGGTGGCAAAAAAGTGATCTTCCATGTGTGCAAATATATTAGGCAACCGAATAGTAATGAAGTTTGTTCATTCATGGATTTGGTCACTGATGTGATTATTGATGTTTCTAGTGCCACAATGAATGTCGAGGATAATTTGGAAGCCGTTTTGCTCAATCTTGCCGATGATGAGGAGAAAGAAGTCTGTGTGGAGTGTGTCAATGCATTGCAAGGGATAAGGTCGTACACTTATGAGCCCTGAAAGCTATCTTTGGGTCTTGAAAATTGGAAGACTCAAACAAAGACCTCAATCGAGGATACTCCCACTTTGGAGTTAAATCCATTGCCTCCATATCTCAGGTATGAATTCCTTGGCCCTTCTTCTAGTTTATCGGTTATTCGTTCTTCTTGTTTAACTAACATGCATGTAGAGTCCATATTGGAGGTCCTACAAAGGAGAAAAATAGCAATCAGATGGACATTGGCGGATATCCGGGGCATAAACCCAGCCTTTTGCATGCACAAGATCTTTTTGGATGAGGGTACCAAACCCTCCGTTGAGCATCAAATGAGGCCAAATGAAGCAATTGAAGAGGTGGTGAAGAAGGAGATAATCAAGTGGTTGGATGCTGGGGTTGTTTACCCCATTTCCGATAGCTCGTGGACCTCTCCGGTGCAATGTGTCCCAAAGAAAGGGGGCATGACTGTGATAACAAATGACAAGAATAAATTGATCCCCACAAGAACTGTCACCGGGTGGAGACTGTGCATGGACGATAGGAAGCTCAACAAAGTCACTCGGAAAGATCATCTTCCATTTCTTGATCAAATGCTTGATAGTTGGACGGACGTGCTTTTTATTGCTTCCTTGATGAATACTCCGGCTACAATGAAATCCTTATTGCTCTTAAGGACCAAGAGAAGAACATATTCACTTGTCCCTATGGTACTTTTGCATTCTCGTGGATGCCATTTGGATTGTGTAATGCACCGACGACTTTTAAACGATGTATGATGACTATTTTCACCGACATGGTGGAGGATATTATTGAGGTCTTCATGGATGATTTTTCTGTGGTTGGGAATTCTTTTGAGGATTGTTTGAACAATTTGGATAGGGCTTGGCTAGATGTGAGGAGACCAATTTGGTATTGAATTGGGAGAAATGTCACTTCATGGTCGAGGAAGGCATTGTCCTCGGCCACAAAATTTCAAAGCATGATATTGAGATTGACAAGGCCAAAATAAAGGTGATCTCCAAACTTCCTCCCCTTACATCCATGAAAGGAGTGAGGAGCTTCTTGGGTCATGCAGGGTTCTATCGCCCATTGATCAAGGATTTTTCCAAAGTGGTGAAACCTTTGTGTAAACTTTTGGAGAAGGATACCAAGTTCCATTTCAATGAAGATTGCATGAAGGCATTAGAGTTGCTTAAGTTCAACTTGACTACTACTCCTATTATCACCGCACCAGATTGGAGCTTGCCTTTTGAGCTCATGTGTGATGCAAGTGATGTGGCGGTTGGAGCGGTGTTGGGGAAACGTATCAACAAAATCTTCCATCCAGTCTACTATGCAAGAAGGACAATTAATGATGCCCAAGTCAATTACACAGTGACCGAAAAGGAGCTACTTGCTATTTTTTGGCTATGGAGAAGTTTCGCCCGTATTTAATAGGTACAAATGAGATTGTTCACACCAACCATGCAGCGCTTCGGTACTTGATGAGCAAGAAAGATTATAAGGCAAGGTTGATGCGGTGGGTGCTTATATTGCAAGAGTTTGATCTAGAGATTCAAGAGCACAAGAGTAATGAAAACCAAGTGGCAGACCACTTGTCTCATTTGGAGGAGGAGGGGAGGCCACATGAAGGCCTTGAGATCAATGATTCCTTCCCCGAATAGCAATTGCTAGCCATCTCAATGACCGGGATGCTGTGGTTTGCCGATTTAGCCAATTATCTTGTGAGCGGCATTATACCGAATTTGTTCTCTTCAAACCAAATGTCACGCCCCAAAACCGAGGGGCGCAAATGGTGCTCAACCGAGCAATCCCGACTGAGCAAGCCTATTAGGTTTCATTCTACCCAAAATTAATTTATGAATACCAAGGAGATGAACTCCATAAATCCTACTTTATGAGCATTACATTGACAATTTTATCTTTGTCTTTCATTAATAGTTCAACCTTACTAACCAAATTATTACAATTAATAGATACAAAGGAAACATTCTGCCAAATAACAACATATCTAGTTCAAATTTTCAATACCCGACACTACCCACAACCTGTCTATGGAGCCTCTAAATACAACTGCAAAGTAATATAGAAATGTCGGCAACAAGGCTCCGGCTATACCTCAAAAGTACATGATAATCAATGGTACAGGACCCTGAAATGAAGTGGGGCTCACCAAGTCAGCTGAAAGGGAGATGCGTCACTAGATGCGACCAATATTGCCTGCTATGGAACCACCTACATCCATTTAAAGACGTAGCGCCCCCGGAAAAAGGGATGTTAGTGCCATCGAATAACACCAGTATGTATAACTAAACACCATCTCATTAGAAAGAACAACCATACAAGAACAAAGATATCATAAAGATTCAACAAAAACTTTAAACAATCACTACATCATCAAATAAAAGGAATCACATAACTTTCACATAATTTCCATAGCTTTAGTTTGGGGTATTTAATACTGTTCACCATCATTCATAATATCACCGCTTTCTTGAGCAGAGTCCGATCACGACTCGATCGGCTAGGTTGCCTCATTTGAGACATGTACCTCAATCACAATCTCATTCTCACTTTCTAGAATTCAATGTTAGCACAATACCACCATGTGTGCAGCATGGCATTCGATCACGGCCCGATTGGATAGGCTGCCTTACCAAGGCGTTGTTCTTTTCTCATTAATCATCTCATTTCAATCTTTATTTCACATATATCAATTCATAGGCACTTAGGGCCACAATTATCACATTATACTTGGCACTAGGCCACATTTCGTAACTCACTTTCCACATCACTTTCACTTTCAACATCAAACTTGCAATTTAGGATAATGGGCACATACAAGAGCAATTCAAGTTATATGCATAGAGAGGAATTCTCATGATTCGGCATAATAATCACAATTTAAACTTGACTTGAAATCTAGGCAATTTAGCATATAGTTCACATTCTTCACATATCCCCAATTTATCAAGAATAGCACATTGAACATATTGAGACTCACCTTTCACATATATTCTTGCAACACCAAATCCTTTGAAATAACTAATACTACATAAATCAAATTTCGGACTTACAACATATGCGGGACACCATGGGAGCTCAATTTCTAAGAAGAGGGGTTTTTAGCCATACATACCTCAAAGAGCTGTTTCTTAAGTTTCTACAATCCACCGACACCTCTAGTAATAACAATATATAAGGAGATAGAGGGAATCAATTAATAATTAGGAAGATTACCCATGGTGTAACTCTCTTAGGAATTTCATCAAACACCTAATAGGTGAAGTAGTCTACAAGGTCTGAAAATGGAAATTCCTTCTTCCCTCAACCAATTTTAACAGGAACTACCCAAATTAGTTCTTTAATATCACATACTACAACTTAGTCCCACATGCACGACCTATTTCTAATCCCACCACATATTTGAACCCTTAACCTCTTACATGAAATCTTGGAAGAAGGACTTACCCGGATGGAGGACAATCAAGTGGTTATCTTCCTTGATTCTTGAGAAATTGAGAAAGATTTGGGTGATTATAATCTAGGCTCCTTCTTTCTCTCTCTATATGCTCTCAACTCTCTCTAAAATCAGTAGAAAAATGATACCAAATGAAGCCCCAAAGCCTATATATTAAAATGGGGTCGAGTTATAAAAATAGAAAAAATAAGCCTCCAAAATTGGGCCTGCGGTCGCATAATGGACCACAAAACAAGAATATGGGTCGCAAAATGCATCGTGGAATTGGTTCCCAAAACTGGGCTACACTGGTCCAGTGGCGACCAGATTTGCGATCGTAGAATTGACACACGATTGCATTTTTCTAGCCTTTGGTAATTTGATCATAACTTTGTGTAAATGTCCAAATGACGAACGGTTTCAAGAGTTGGAAACTAGAATCAAAGACCTTTCATATGATAGGTTGTTCATCATATAAACCTTATATATATTTAGATAGGCTCGTTCAAAGTGTGGACTTGTGCAAACTCATTTGGAATTTTAGCTCATTATGAAATTTTCTAACTTGACTTAGACTTATGCCTCCTATTAGACCCCACATTTCTTATTATATGACTTATATACTTATTTACCAAATCCAATTGATACCCATCATGTTAATAGCACATAAATATTATAATTAGCCTACATGGCACCACAAAATCCTAAATTACTTAGCGAAATTTTCCGGGGCCTTACAACAAAGGAAGAAGCTCAAATGGGATTGCCTTGACTATTATTTGGATGAGCCATATCTATTTTGGATATTTACCGATGGTGTGATCTGACGATGTGTGCCGGAGAAAGAACAAATGGGAATTTTTGAGGCTTGCCACTCTTCATCGTATGGTGGTCACCACAGTGGAGCGAGAACGGCTACAAAAGTGTTGAGTTTTGGATTCTATTGGCCTACTCTCTGCAAGGACGCTAGTGATCTAGTCAAGCATTGTGATGAATGTCAAAGGGCCGGTGTAATTTCTATGAAAAATGAGATGCCCCTCACCACCATCTTGGAAATTGCTATCGTTGATGTTTGGGGTATTGATTTCATGGGACCGTTCGTGAGATCTTGTGGGAACACTTAAACTTTTGGTAGTTGTGGACTATGTGTCAAAATGGGTTGAAGCCGTGGAACAACGAAGCTCGAAGTATGGTAGAATTTTTGAAGAAAAACATCTTCAAAAGATTCGATACTGCTAGGGCAATTATTAGTGATGGGGGTTTGCATTTTTACAATAAGGATTTTCATACCTTACTCAACAAGTAAGGTGTCACTCACAAAGTCTCGACCCCCTACCATCCTCAAGAAAGCGGACAAGTTGAAGTATCCAACCGAAGATCAAGTGTATTTTGTCAAATACTGTGAATACCAACCGGACGGATTGGTCAAGAAAACTTGATGAAGCTCTTTAGGCTTATAGGAAGACAAGCAAAACACTGATTGGGATGCCTCCATATCAATTGGTATTTGGGAAGGCGTGTCATCTTCTGGTAGAACTTGAGCATAAGGCCATATGGGCTTTG